AAACTATAGAAATGATCCCTGAAAGTATAGTCTTGCTGGAGAAACGCTGCTGCCCCACTACTAGTACGACGAACACGCCCTCCTCGGTCACGGTGCTGATGTAGAAACACCGTTTATATCTCATTTATATCATATATTATTACATAGAACATCTAAACAGCTAACTAGGGGACTGCACCGAATAAAAGCCACAATATCTACATATATCTGTATTTATTAACACGATATAACGACATTTAAAACATTATAATTATTATATTTTCTTCCAAAAAAACACACGTTAGCACCGGTTTGATCACAATGCAAAGCGCTACCTGTATATGACATCTGTTCGCACCATAAAAGCCTTAAAAACTGTAAAATAATGTATAAATTATCTTTATTTTGAGTACCCACAATGCAGTCTGGTGGCACTCGGCCTCTCATTGGCTGCTGCGGTGCCGCTAACAGCGAGTTAGCTTCAAATGCTAACAACAAACGAGGAGTTAATGTTGTTTTTAGAGCCGAGACGTTCATCAGTCACCCGGATGTGTACGGTGGCCGACGGCTGCTGTCCAACAATGTCAAATAACCCGAGATAGAAACAATGTCACTGAGGAAAAAGAAGAGAAAAGTTCAATTTAATGTTAAGAAAAGATAGATGGGTAACAGTTCCAGTGTGCTCCAAGTTTTCGCTTCCGGCGACAAACGAGGTAACACACATGGTTCCGGTGCATTGCACAAATATCGCGACGAGAAGAAAGATATTTTCACAGTTGTCTCATTAAAACAAAACATTTAAACCGATGTAGATTTGTTAAGGAAAATGTTATAACAGAACAATTAGGTGGTAATTACTTGCTGCAGAGACACCGATACAATATGGATTATTATACTGTTCCCAGATGGAAAAAGGTTCTAATGTTATTTTATTTTTAACATATCTTGCAATAATAGTAATAAACTCTGACCCCTTGGTTAAGACGCTAGTTTAAAAAAGTTTGATTTGAACAGAATTTCTCTTCATTGCCTTCAATAATGACTTTGTGGTGTGTTTTAATAATCAAACGATTGTACAATGTATTATTTAATTATTTATTAACAGTTCATTTGTGCTAATTGTGCTGCCTAGCGACCTTGACACGACATATTTTATGAGTTTAAACTATTTAGCAAATATAAACCACCACATGTTTTATAAAGATTGTATTAAAATAAATAATTGTCTATATAAGAAAATAAAAAAACGTTTACCAACCGCCAGCTTCGTGTTTGTCTTAAATCACTTCACAATTTCAAAGGAAATCCTAAAAACGTATCACTTTTCACACGTTTTCATCTATATTTGTGTATTATTTGTAAAAGAATAACAAAGTTCATAAAGTTGTATTTTATTTATAACTGATTTGTTTAACAAGTGACAGCAATAGTATATGTCGTATGGTATTCTACAAATGTTTTGTTGTATTTTTAGTCTTATTTCAGTTTTATATACCTCCTATTATTTTATTTATTTATTTATTTTGTAGGCTGTCCTTGTACTGTTGAGTAACAGCGGAATAAATCAAGGTTTATCATATATTATAGGAGCTACTGTATGTAACCAATGTGCTCCTGAGAAGAATTAAAACACAAGGAGAGTTTTTCTCTTTTTATTCCTTGGTGCTTTGAAGGTGTGAACAGACACGAACCTCTGGGATTCAATAACTGATTAACATATAGTTTCATAAGGTGTATTAAACATTAAAGTTATCTGTATTTATGGAGTTACAGTGATATTATTACACTGCCCTCTTCTGGTGTGTTAGTGGAAATGTAAACTATCACACTGACCCACGTGTCTTTTATTATCATTTTAAACACCACAGAATACCAGATATGTCATATATGTATATCTGAATGGAGCTAGGTTTATTCATAGAGCCATATACTTATATATACTGTCACTGGTGGAGCCTTATTATTATTTAATTTACTCTAAATATTTCTTCTTGTCTCCGCCCACCTCCTTTTTTGTTTACTCTGACGCCATTCACAAGCGACAAGGAAGCACCTTTTTACTCTCATGCGTGCGTTTTCTCTCCTTCTGCCTTCAGATCTCACCAGGTATTGCCTTTAAATGTGTTATTTAGTGAATTTAAGAAAAGGGCTATGACACTGTGTGACGTTGATGACACAAATATGACATGTTGGCTCTTAAAGTTTGATTTACTCACACCCTGCATTCTTTGTTTAGCCCTCAACGACCTCAAGCAATAACCTTTATATATATATATAATAACAGGAGAACAGCAGACAGAAATGGAAGATATTCGCTCAGATGTGTGTGAAATGCAGCTGAACGGAGTTTCAGATGTGATGGATCTGCTTCAGATAGACGTGGAGACTGAAGACAGACCAGAGAGAGAACATGCAGCATATTCAGTAAGTTTGTTTACTTTGGATTTATTTGAAATAAGGGATAGATAGATAGATAGACTTTATTGATCCCAAGCTGGGAAATTGCAATATACTAAACTGTTGAATGAATAAAACAATATTTGAATGTAGTATCTGGTAAAAATCTGTGGACATCCTGAGTTGCTCTGCGCTGTTAATTGTTGTTTTCTCTGCTTACTGAACAGAAGAATGTGTTGAGGAAGCAGCGCAACTGGGAACGGCAGCTGGCAGCAAAGAAAAGCAAAAGAAAAGAAGAGAAGCAGAAGAAGAAGCTCAACCGTGAGCAGGACTCGGGTAAATAAGAGACTGGTGTTGTTTTTGTAGGTGAAAGTAGTTTAAATTCCAATCTAAAGCTTCTATAACATGAACACGTGTCTTTCCGGTGTATCTTGTCATACAGGTGCGAGCACAGGTAATCCTCAGTTTACCAAACGGGTCATGAAAGCGATCACCAAAGAGCGTTTAGCCGAGGCTCAGTCCACAGGGCTCAAACTCTGCGTTGACCTGAGTATGACAGACAGCATGTCGGACAAGGTAGGAGCCTCAAAAACAGCAACGTTATGAATTCTGAAGGCACAAAACAGCTGTTTCTGTTTCAAACATTGAGAGACATTTGCCTGTGTCTTCATTAACCGTGTGTGTTTGTGTGGTTCAGGAGGTGAGTCGACTGGCTGGCCAGTTGAGAAGGCTGTACGGGTCGAACAAGAAGGCGACTCGACCGTTTCACCTTTTCCTGACGGACCTGAGAGAGGACAGTCGTCTGTACAGGGAGTGCATCCGAATGAACGACGGCTTCCTCAACTACACGGTGGTTTTTCACATCCTGAATCCACTATATCACAATATTTTAAAGGAAAGCTAAAATAGGAAATCTTTTTTTATATATATATAGTGAAAAGCTTTATAAGTAACCCGTATTTGGTATTTTTTATTTAAGGTGTTATTTTAGCCTAAAACAAAATACATAAAATAAGCTGTATCCTCCAGCTGAAACAACTGAACCTGACAACGAGGCCTCAAAAATGGTTCTTTAATCTATTTTTTGGACTCACACACTACAGGACACACACGTTTATAGTTTCTTCAGTAGTTTCACTCTCTTCCTCTGTTATCTGGACCAAAAATAGTTTGAATATTTAGCAACAGACTGTTTTTCATTTTTTAGATGGACATAACAGAAGAAAGCTGTCTGGACCTTTTTCCTCCAGAGGCTGTTGTCTACCTCACACCGGATGCTGAAGAAGGTTTGATTTGTCTCAAAGGCATTTATGAATAAATTGTCTATCTTAGTGCAGAGAAGATGAATTGATTGAGTACAATTTCATAGATACAGTGTGTATAAAAAGGTTTTAGTTGAAATGTTTCTTTTGGCCACCAGAGGGTGTATTCTGACCATCTGACCACACAGTACTGCCACTGTAACTTGCACTACTTTATTAGTTTACACATAGTAAAACACAATAATAATGTAAAGTTAATAAAAAATCTTAATGAAAATACTATTTTTGTTTTAAAATCTTATTTTATTTCAGCTTTAGAGACAGTGGATGCTGACAAGGTGTATGTCCTCGGTGGCCTTGTGGATGAAAGCATCCAGAAGGTATTACACATTCCAACGGATGATAACTGCAGCAACTCCATCAACTAATTCAATATCATCGATTAGTTTTCTTTTTTAATCAGTATTCTGTTCTGCTCAAATAAAATCCAGTAGCTCTTGTACTTCTCACAATGCTATCACTGCAGCAAGGTGAAATTGTATCAGTGCATGTGTGAAATGTAATATATTGGATTTTACCAACTTTTTGAGCCTCTCCCTTTCAGAAGTTGAGCTTCACGAGAGCCAGAGAACTGAGCGTCCACACGGCGAGGCTGCCTATAGACGAGTACATGGTGAAGAAAAACAACACCAAGAACTTTCACTCAAAGATCCTAGCTGTTAATCAAGGTGAGTGATTCATTTTCATTTGCAAGACAATTGTAGCTGGTTTATATTTAACAACTTCTCTCTCTGTTCACAGTGTTTGACATCTTGTTGACATTCTGCAACACTGGTAGTTGGACAGAAGCCATGCAGGAGTGGTTCCCCCCGGGGAAGGGTTATGTTGTTGAACCAGATGATTCCCCACCACTTCTTGTCTCTCCAACACAAACATAACGCGGTTCACATTTTCCAGTTTGTACATCCCTGCCTCCTCTCCTCGCAACTCTGGTGGGAGGGACTAAGATGCGAGGAGACGGGGAGGGAAGCGAGGAGAGACACAGAGGAGAGAGGAGATGAGGCAACAGGTGGTCAACAAAATGAGATGTTCTTGCTTTACAGTCAACAACTGCACAGCTGCATCATCTGCCTATTATTTTTTTTTTTTTATAGACAACAGCTGTATTGTCTCTGTCAGATGAGCATAACAGTGTTCATAAAAAAACTATTATATTTTACCTTTAATTAAACCGACAACGTGGCATAATGTGACAAGAATGTAGTCTATGGATGTCACACATTTTTATTTTGATCATGACCACTAAAGCTGCTCTTTTACTATTGTATGTAAAAAATATTTGATTTTCATTGTGTTCTGTACTTTCAGGGAATGTATTGCGCCAAACTCCCTTGAAGAAATATGGCATTTTAACAATGCCATACGTGTCCATAAAAACAAGCTAAAGTGCATCATACGTCCACAGTCTGACTGTCAATTCGGCATCAATATTATCCATAAAGATGAACTTTTTTTAATGATTTTGTCTCCTCAACTCGCTACAGTCTGCGTTGTCAGTGGGAGAAGACTGTGTGAACAAGAGGTTGTCCATTTTACTTATTATTTATTATTTCTCACTAAAATACACTGTGCTGTCTGGTGGATTTAATATGTGCCGAATTAAACACAGACTCATAATGCTGTTGATTCTGTTTATTATTATTTGTGTCGTGTTCTTGTTGAGCAATTACCATAGTAACTATCTGTATGATGAAATATCCTTAAGGAATGCAGTTTGAACTGTGCCTTACAAGGTCATTTTAGTAGCAACAAATTAGAAAGACAATTAAAGGATATATGTATGACATTCACTTGCCGCTGGATGTCACACTAAAGCACCAGCATCTCAGACCAAAACAATGGACAAAATGACCCGATTACATTGACAAAACAAATAATTTTACCTAGCAGATCATTTTAAACCTCTTTGTTAGTCTTTTAAACAATTACCAGGGCTGGTTTGGACTACTCTCCATTATATCTTCACATAACAAATAGTTGTTTGCTGCTATAGTCATGTATTATAATATATGTATTTGTATTGTTGTAAACCAGATTAAAGAGATTAAAGTACCCCAGATGTTGTGAAAGAGAGATTGATTAATAGCATATCATTTTATTTATTATAGAAAAACCTGCTGATATGAGGTTTACACAAGAATAAACTCAAGTGGTTTGCACTCTTACACTTGTTTCATCACTGAGAAAAGCAAAAGCAATGATCTTACATAAACAAGCTGTTACAAACAAGGCATTCAACAAAGTCATCAAATAATTTTTCTCTAAGACAGACTTTATGAAAAACTCTGGCATTAAGTCTCAATTTACAAGATTACTTGCAGTACTTTTACAACAATAACAGTCCTCTCACTTTCTTGTCTCTAGTTCTTAAGATAAACATCACATCACAACTATTTGGAACACCAACATCCACTCTCTTGGATCCAAGTCCAACTTCTTAGTTCAAACTGATTTATAAGCCTCACTGCACAATATTAAATAAAAATGTTTGTGGTATTTCCTATGTATCCTCTTCTAGGCTGCTTTACTGGAAATCACACTGAACCACCGTCAATATGCTTCACGCATCAAAACACCCTAAGCAAACCAACCTAAACCAATAAAATTATTTTAAAATCAATTCTGAAGCACACAGGTGGCCAAAGCAGAGGCTTTAGGATTAAATCAAAGATTACTTGTTATACTTGTTTACAGGAGTTTAATGCCAGTGCTTGCAGTTTTACATTTGTCTCTGTGAGCTTCAGTACTTATGCTATTAGTACTACTACACAAGAGTTTGATATGTGTCCACAATTGATTTTATCTTAGCTTTGTACGTGCTTCATGTTTGGTTTTTCCTGTTTTAATCATTAATAAAATCTTCCCTGTCCACCCATTCAGGTGCCAGTCTTAGAGGGTATGCACTCATGTGCTACCTCCTCACCCACGCAAAGAACTACGCTATGATTGAGAGTTACAGAGAAAAATGAAGCGTGAATTGTGTATTTCATCTGTATCCCAAAATAAGAATGAACTAATACTGTACCTGTCTGAACAGGTACGACGAAACTTCTATGGATTGCTGTCTCTGCCGATCATCTTGTCACAGTCGTTCAACCATCTCTCAACACGTCATCAGTCAGCCAAAAATACAACACCAGAGAATAACATGCTTGATATACGACTTAGTGTAATCCACAGACAAGTAATGACTAGTTTAAACAATACTATTCTTCTCTACGCCACTCAGATGCTCAAATAGATTTGTCTGAAAGTGATTAATTCCTTGATGCTTTAGATATTCCGTAATACAGTCCTCCCTCAATCAAACCACTGAGAAAATAATACAAAGTGGGAAAGCATCTGGCCCAGATGAGTTTCCTATTGAGTTTAATAAATTATTTGCACCCAAGCTAGCACCTATCCTGAAATCTGTATATGATTGATATATGAGGCTGTGACTGTAAGATATTAACCAAAGTCCCTGCACAACGTTTAGAAGCAATTATACCTTTAGTCATAAAAGTGGCTCAAACAGGCTTTATCACTTATCAACAGCCATTTTACAACATGCAGAGGCTATTTAATGTCATTACCTATCCACTCAACCATACAGCCTGAAATGATCGTATCCCTTGACATCAAAAAAGCCATTTGATAGGCTCGAGTGGGTCTTCTTATTTGCAGTCCTGTGTCAAAGTTATGTGTTCAGCATCTATAGCCTCTGTTATATGAATATTTTATGCTTCACACAGGTTCAAGGCAGAATGTTTTTTTTTCTCTGTTCTTATTTTGCCAATTGAACCGTTAGCTGTAGCCATCAGATCAGAGAGGAGAATCAAGGGTATTACTAGGGGTGGATGGTGAATGGTTCAAAAACACTGCAATCGCGGCTCCAGATGGGGACTATCACAAAGAGAATTGTGGATCAGGAGTGCCCATTTCCCACCATATTAGCTCTGGTTCTTGAACTAGCCATAGCTGAACAGGGTTGGCCTGCACTACTGTAATTTAACGGTGGTTGTTATGGTGGTACTTGGAGAGCCTGAAGTTTGAGAAACACTAATCTATGTTTGTATACTGATATATGCAAATGTATACATGCACATGCACAAATATGTACAGTATGTGTGTGGGCAGGTGTATACATGTGTATGGGTACTGCATATAGATATGAATATGCATGGTATGTGTATGTTGTTTATGTCTATACATTCCTAAAATATGTAAAGCTTTGTAAAACAACTGACCTTTTAGTGGCCCACATGCATTTATACTCCAAACAAATCAAACCTCCTGATTTCAGTGTCACCCATCGCCTTTGATTGTGCATTACTAACAGGACAAACATTGCAAACCTATAAAATTATTGGCAAACCTCAGCGCTTTTCTCCAGCTGGTCTATTAAATTGAACTGCGTCCTGGAAAAAAAAGGAATTGTAGTTATTTAGTAACCTCCCACCATTCTGCTAATATTTGGCAATGGGTTTAGAAAAAGAGCAGATCATGGGGAATTGATATTGCAATATGTGGTTCCAGGGCTTTGGTTCTTAAAAATATATAAATCACTGTTGGATAGATTGCCATGAAATATTGTACAGACGTACATGACTCCCTAAAGATTAATCCTGATCTTCTGGCTTTTCCTCTAGCTCAGTGGCTCCCAACCTTTTTTCCTTAAGAGTAAACTGACAACCCTCTGAAGTTACATATTTTATGGATATTTCACATCATATTTAATGCCTAAGTAGTTAACACAGTAGCAGCAATACGTTTGTGTGAAACATGACAGTTTGGAGGGATTTTGATTGGATAATTTGTGAATAGTGCATCCAACATGAGTTTTCATGATATTTTTAGGAACTTTTTATACAATTCTGTGTCTGTATTATGTATTTTTTCTCATTTTTAACCATCACTTATACTTAATTGGCATCTTTTTTTTGTTGACAAATTCTGTGTTTTTTTCTCTATATATTTTTTAAAGCTTTCTTACACCTCCTAAAATCAAGACAAACTCATGACCCCGCAAGAAGCTTTGGCAATCCCTGTCTCATGAGTTATTGATTGGATAACAAGAACATCATTGTAGTCTTGTTTTATGTCTTCTGTGTTTCACTTGGCTGCAAAACAAATTCCCCCTTGGGGCAATAAAGTTGAAGCTGAGGTGTATTACAGCTTATCAGTGCAAGAAACAACACATTTTACTTTTTAAACATATATTTATTTTTCTTTAAAGTGCATTAGATTTTCCAGTATTCTCTCTTAATTGTTATTAGTGACTTAAGAAAGGAATCAATCAATTTGTGCTATTGTTGGAGAAGCTTAACTAAATGGAGTATTACATAAAATTGATATGTTACATATTAAAATATTACACATTTCTTTCTTCATACAGTATCTGCTTTCAAAAGATCATGCGACCAAACTTTCTACACAGGGAAATGATTGACATTTTCAAGTACACTTAAATACCTTATGCACACAAAGCTGATTGCTTTCTCTCAATTCATCTATTGCTCCTTCTAACACTTAAACAATATTAACCCAGAATCAATGTGTATATGTGTAAAATATGTGGTAAAAAACACATAAAAAACATTCAGTAGAAATACAATTCTGAAATAAAAACACAAAGAGGCTAAACACTAGAAAACACTAAAATGATTATTATTATTAAGTTAAATATTGTGTCATTTGTTTTTTAAAGTAAAGTCAGTAAAACAGCATGGCTCATAGTTGCAGAAATGAGTTTTCAATAGCTTTCATTGCAGCATATCTTTAATTTGCTCCAAGATATTATGCTCGTTTCTTAGGAAGTGCTCCTCCCTGCTGATGTAACTGTCTCTCAAGGACGAAGTGGATCAGCTTCTTCACCCAGGAGGACCGAGGGTTCAGACACACCTTCTCCCCGTTCGCCAGTCCAGCTCTGGATAAAAGAAACAGAGATCATGAGTCCAAGAGCAAACACATCTGCTCCAGGATGCCCCCCAAATCAGAAATAATATCAAGAACGTATCAATGCAGGCTTTGATGATAGATACAAGATGTAGTTGTTTGTGTGAAAGCACTGCCTGTGTGAATGTGCTGAGCTCTGATATTCCTAAGAACCCATAATCAAAAACATGATTTATTTAAAACAAGGACAGAATTCAACAACTGAGAAGAAAAACCAGGATCCCCAATTTCATTTATAAAAGAATGTTTACAATTCTGAAGGCTTCCATCTTAGCAGACTCTGGAGCTATAAGGGGAAACAAGAAGAGCAGGAAGACTCTAAGCGGCCTGACTAGACTTGTGATGAAAGTGATATGGAAAATAAATGGAAGTTTGCCACTTGTTCCACTCCATGTGTGAGAATATATCTCTATCTGTGTGTTTTAATTCACAAATGAGAGACAGATGATACCAAGATAATAGTGAGATTATTCATAGTACTTGGAAATATCCCATTAAGCCGAAAGGTGTGATTTTTTGGCATCATCACATGAAATTGCGAAATAAGCATCTTCCACTGGTGGGTGTGGGCTGAGGAAGATTGACTCAGCAGACAAAGGCATTTTACCTTTATTTGGTAGTAGTATTTGGCACGACAGAGGTTTCCATCTTAAATCAAACTGGGGAAGTTGTGGTGATATGGGAAGATCAGTTGATATCAGAAAGAGAGTTCTGAATTGTTCAGTACACGTGTGCCCAGTTATATCCAGTTACTGTTACTGTAAAAAAGCTACTGAACTGATGGGAATGGGGTCAAAGAAATACTGTAGATATATAAAGCTTAGTTGACTAATTTATTACTTGACTGACAGAAAATGTAATTGGCAACAATTTTGTCACAAATACTGTGCGGCGGTCACTGCCTAATGATCGCTCGGATGCGCGTGACCACAGTCCAGTTGTTTTGCGCGGGTTCGTCTGTAAAGGATCATCAGCAGACACAAACTGGGTACAAGACAGCAGCCAGCTTTGCGGCTCTCTCGCCTCTCTCGTCGGCCCCCGGTTCCCCACATCTCATCTAGGCTTCAGATCTTGCAGCACCCCGCGGCACAGCGCTTTTCAGCTTTTGTTTGACTTCTGCTTTGTTTCCACTTCACAAAATTTACACCTCACACTGCTTACACATACTTATATTTACTCCACTGATGTTACTGACCAGCACACTCCACATTTGTAGTTATTATCTCAGTTTTTTAATTTACTGTAATAAATTCATTAATTTGTCACCACTACTGTGTCCTCCTCCACATTCGTCATTGCATGGGAGCCATGGGTTATGGCAAATTGGGGGCTTGTCCCGAGACCCAGATGGTCCAGCAATTCCAATACAATTTTACATAATTTCCTTTTTTAATGCACAATTAAATGTTTAATGATATATTTTTTTTCTCCCTACCTGATTATCTAAATACTGTTTCTTAAGCAATTTGTAAAGAGTAATTGTGTGAAATTGCAGAATGTAAGCTCCTCCTCCTCCACATCCCCCTCCACACTCTCATTAAAACTTCCCAGAAACTACCAAAGGTAACATAACCTGAGTGTCCCACAGTCCTGGTTTTATGTCACTGTAAATTCAATCTCAGTTTGTGACAGAAAAAGCAGTTTTAAGATATCAGCTTGAACTCGGGAAGCTCCCTATGATATAAAATTGTGATGATCTGGTTTTTCCTTTGTGTGATGACTTTGATTACACTTACATGACTTCGGTCTCTGGGCAGTGCGGCCCTTCAGGGACGAGCTTGATGCTCCTCAGGCTGTCTGGAGGGATGATCCTCGACTCCACCTGCAGGCACCGACAGTGGGTGTTGTAATCCCTGCTGATTGGCGGCATACCTGTAATCAACAGACATTCAGTCAGAGTACAGATTTAATCTCTTTAACCACTCAGGCTTCTCTTTCTTGGCAGAGGTTTTCTAAATTACTTGAGAAAATAAACTTGGATTCCAAAAGCTTTATTGGCTGCTTCATGTGAATGGTTAGAACATGGAGATGTTTTCAATTTGGTCTTTTTTTTGCAATGCAAAAAGAACATTAATTAAACCAGAAATTCAATTATTTCAGTTTTTTGATGCCATCAGCTTAGCAGCATGTTGTGGGAGATTAATGCTGTGTCTATGTCAGTCCAATGATTACTTTGCAAAGTATATGAGGTATTCGACCAGCAGTAACACATCACAGTGAAAGAAAAAAAAACTCCTTTGTCCTGCCAATTATTCTTGTGAAACCCTCTGATTGATTGGAATATTGTGCAACCTCCACTTCCCTATTTTATTTTACTGGGAACTTGACCTTATTGTGATAGTGCTAGGCGTGTGATCACTTTCTAAGTGACTTTCTATGTACCAGCATTGGTATTTTGACATTCTTATAATGGGTACTTCTCCCTTTTCTCTACCAGTCATCTTCCTGTTCCCTTAAATTTAAAGTCGTGTGTGCAATAGTCAAGTTCGGCTGAGTTTCGGTAATATACAGTGAAATACAGTCTAAAAAACTTTTCAACACAGGCACAAATTATGTTTTGCCAAAGCCTAACTTAGAGCTCGGTAAAAGCCCATTCTCCTATCAGGCTTGCCTGGAACCTCAAGGAAAATGGCTGTAAATATTAAAACTATCTTAAGTTACTGTATGTGAGATAATAGACATTTAATGAGGATTATTGCAGGTTTTAAGTGTCTACTTGTAAAGAGATGTTTTTATGTTCTATTGGGAGAATAGCCCAGTTATCAAAGGTCAAGTGCTGGACCAAACCAGAAGTATCAATCTGTACACATTGTCTTTACTCCCACAAGCAACTACACAGTATATCTATGTTTGTGCTTTTGCTCATTTATTAGATTTTTTTCTGTGCAAAAATCAGTTTGCTGATTTCTAAAAAAATTTGGGGATCTCAGTGGAACAATTTGCTTTTCAGTATACTTTACTTAAGTAAAACCTTAAGGTACTTCTACTGTGCTTGAGTATTTCTATTTTATGGGCATTTATATACATCTACTCCACTACATGTCTCAGAGGGAAATATTGTACTTTTCACTACATTTATCTTATAGTCATAGTTACATAGCAGATTAAGATTTTACATATAAAAACTACAGATCCTTAATAAAAGGATCTGAATACTTCCACCTATGGTTACTTTCATTTGGTAACCAGAGGTAGAAGTCGTAATGTGGTAATAATGCAGGATAGACTCTTTAGATCAGCACAATACAACACAACAATAAAAACAAAAGAAGAAAGTCTCTCCGCGTTTTTCATATCGAGAAAACGGAATAGAAACCGACTGCAATCATTTCATGTTTTTTGTAGTCAACAGGCTACAACTGACGAAAAGAATGGTATAATGAGTCAATATTTCAATTGAAAACATTAATACTCAATCAATACATTTTAAAATGTTTTCTCTGCTTTCAATTTAGGAAAAAGGAATGTCACCCACTGGTTTCACTAGAATATTTCCCATGTCTATTTAGTTACATAACAGTTCAATTTAACTCCAGCTGAATTTGCCTACAACAACCCACACTAAACTGCTGAGATGAGAGTAAACCCTTGGCAGGAATGTTAGTCAAATGGAAAGTACCCCACTAAGTTGCTATGCTCTTACCGTTAACGAGGACATACAGGGTCCCAAACACAAGCAGGAGGCAGAGCTTCATCTTGTCTGTGCAGTTGCTTGTTAAGTTCTTTAGCTCAGACGGATATCATACAGCTGCTGCTGACTGTTTAGATGCATTCTGAATTCCAGTATTTATACATAAAGTGATCATGTGCTCTTCATGAACTTAGCTTTGGGAAATTTCAGAAAAAACCTTTGTATACGTCTCTGTGTGTGTGTGTGTGTGTGTGTATGTTGGTTTCACTTTGGTGCATTCACATGTGCAGCAGAAGGTAGTCATGGGACAGGGGACTGGGACAGACGAGAGGCCCTGTTGAGGTTAAGAGATGGCGTGCTCGCAGTCGGCTGCCAGAGATGTGAGTCATACAGACAAAGTGTGTCTGTCTGGACGGCCAGCCCACAGCTTCATATTTCTTCTGCTTATCATAGCTCTGCAGCAGTATTCAACTCTGTTTGCTCCCCTTTGATTCTGAAAGAGGAAAAAGGTACAACAGCTACAGTTCTGTAAACAACACAGTTTGACCTGTGGCTACTGTGCATATGATACTGTGAGATAGTGTTGTTTTTCCTGGGGGCTTCTGTTGACCCTGTACTGTATATACAGTACAATACACTTATTATGTGAAATAGCTCATCAGTTTTCATTGTTTTTTTATTTCTGTTTTGTGTTAGTTTGTGGTGTGGTTGTATTTTAGTTTGGCTGTTATTCTAGGGAACTATTTATTGATTTGGGGATGAAGGGGAATATTAAAGCAGCATTACTCAATATTTTTATATAAGCGATGGCTCAGATAACTGCGTGTCCTTTTTAGCTTCTTGCAGCTCATTGTTTTGGTATTTCAGGCCCACAAAGTTTCTCTTTTGGTTCACTCTGACTGTTGTTATTAGCGTCCTTTTTAGCGGTTTTCAGGAAAAATAGACCTCTGTACGCAACCTGCCTGGCACCAAATGGTAGACAGAGAATGTTGGCAACTAACAGTGGAGCATTTACGAAATAGGTAGATATTTTTCTCAGGAGTTGGTGGAGACCAAAACTGAACTAAAAAGTGAGGAAATATTTAACATGTTTATCACGTTGCTAGAAACACAACTCCAAATGAAT